ACTGCATTACTAAGCTTTTTGTATTGGAGTAATGGAACAAAAATGGAAAAAATCAACACAGAAGCATTTTATTATAAGGCTGAGAGGTGCTTGATACCACTTTAGTTTTTCATGTAAAGTGTATAGAGAAACTAAAATCCTTCTGATCATTACTTTTCTACCAGGAAAAAAAAAAAAATTGTCTGGGCCAAGTCCTCTTTGCTTTGCTCGCTGGCAGGGTGGAATTTCTTGACAGCAAAGAAAAGCAGCACTCAAGGAGGGAGGCAGGTCATATATACATATATACAGATACAGTGGGGCTGCATCAAACTGGTTCTTTCAGGATCCCATAGCTCTGCCCACACGGTGCTGATGCACAACATACTCCTCGGGGCTGCACTTGGGTGTGGAATCGTGTCATTATAGTGGCAAAACTCAGGGTGGTTTTGCTCCTCTCTCCTCAGAGATGGGCTCTGACAGCAGTGCCCTCAAGTCCTCTGTTCAAACACTGACCAATTTGAAATCTGGCCTGAACTCATCAAGGCTCTGAGTTGATCAGAAGAGGACAAGTTACTGTATTAATTGCTTTCAGTCGATTGATTGCTTTTTGAACGGTGTTAGAGGCCTGCAAGTCTCACACATTTTCTGCTTGGAGTAGCTTTCCTTTCTTATCCAAAAATAGTTAGAAAACTTAGAACAATTTGATCGAATGTTTGAAGAGCAGCTTATGGGTTTAACACATATAAATAAAATAATCATAAATAGAATTGTGGCTGGTGATAAATGAGCACTGCAGTGGTGAAGGTGTGTGGAGAGCTGAGGGTGACTCTTTCTAGAGAGGCCGTGGTGAGGAGGGAGGAGATGCCTGTCCAGCCATACCTGGGAGCTGCTCCTGATGGCTTTTCCACAGATGTCCAGCTCTGTCAAAAACCACTAAATCTTGTGAAGTTTATTTTCCTTATAGCATCTGTGTTTTATAATGGCGCTTTTAATTTGTTGTTTCTCTGCCTGCTGGGATTTCTTTTGTCCGGCCTTTTCAGGCCTCCCTGTTTTCCTCGGTGGAAGTGAGTCTGTCAGTGATGGCTGGTCTGGGAATACAGCCCGGCCCGGCGGCCGCTCCCTCCCTCTGACAACAAAGCACATTGTTGTTTGCTCTCTTCACTTTTATCCTCAGCTTAATGCATTTTGCCTTTGGTTATCCGTGGAATGAAATGTCTGGAAAAGCGTGGCTCAGGTTTTGGGGGGATGAGATGAGATGGGGGTGGGTTTGCAGCCTCTCAGCAAACAGGTACGAAGGCAGAACCCACTGGTTTTCCATGTCTCTGTAGGTATGGAAGTTCATCCAGTGTGTAAGGCTGGTTTTCCATGTCTCTGTAGGTATGGAAGTTCATCCAGTGTGTAAAGCTGCACTTGGAAATAAACTTCAGTCAGACTCCAGAGCCACGGCATCCCTGGCTTTTTGGAAGTCCCTTAGTAAAATTAGTAAGAGATTTACCAGCAGCTTAAATTGAGACATAAGCCTGTTTTTCTTTTATTTCTCTCCAGTGGAGATCTGAAAGGCTGAATTAGGATTAACCAGAGGAATTTTTTGTTGTGGGTTTAGCAGGAATTCATACCTTGAGTGGAAATAATGCAAGTCCTGAGCTGTGGCCCGGGCTGGAGAGGGAGTGCAGGCACATGGGAAAATAAAGCTGAGCCTAAACTGGCTTTAATGCATTCCGTGCACAGCTCTTGAACTCTGATCCGAACAACTCTTCCCTGGCAGCCCCTGGAACGACAAATACTTGACCCAAGGGACTTGCCTTGCACGGGGTCCTGAGGGCTGTTGAGCTCAGCTCCGGGTGAGTACCGAGGGAAAGAGCCCCCTCCCTCGGGATGCTCCCCTGGAAACCTTCAGAGTGACCCTTGAGAGGACGTGTTTGCCATGGGATTGGGAGGGTGGCCACTGATTCCCCTGAATTTCTCTAAATTCAGCAGGAAGTGTCCCTGAGCAGGCAGTAGGATGTGATCTGTGTGCAGCTGGCAGTGCACAACCGAGTTACCCCTCACAGCTGAGTGCGCTGTGCACGTGTCCTGAGGTAACTGGAGTTCAGGGTTCTGGATGAAAAATATTGGATATTTCGAGCAGACTTAAACTTTGGCTTATTTGTTGCCCGTCCTTTGACAGTGAATCAACAACTGCTCGAGCTGTAGAAATAATGTTGATGCTTGACTGCATTCTTTGTGCTCTTTTGGCCCGATACAGCAGCCCTGTGCACACACAACTCCTGTTTACTGCAGGAGTTTCCTACTTGGACAGGCTGGAGGAATGGAAGGGGAATTTTTCCAATTTCTGGAGGGCTACAGCAGCACACCAGAAAATTATGGGGTTTTCTTTAACCTTAATGGTCCACACCATCTTAATGTTACTGTATTTAGATTCTGAAGAACAACTTTACTGTCAGAAATAATCTCTCTCCTTTCTGCAGCGTTCCAACTTGGAATTTTTTACTTCTATCACTTTTAATTACATTTTTTCGCAGTTAAGCAACTGAATGTTGCTGCAGAAAATACAGGCTGGCAGGCAATGGTTGTTGTGACATATGTTTGGTAGTTACAGCTTTTTCATTTGTCACAGCTGAATTTTTTTCTCGTGGTTGGACTGTGCATTATGAGCTCTGCTTTAGTTAATTTTTTATTGAGGTTTGTATACATCAGATTAAGCTGTACTTCTAAATATATATTTACAAATTAAATGCTGAACGTTTTTTGTTTTTGTTTTTTTTTGCAAAGAGGAATCATCTTCGATTTTGGTCCTATTCAGCATCTCTTTTATACCTTTTCATTCTCTCTTCATAGCTTAGTGCTTTTTTCCCTTTACTCTGTGTTTTCTTATGTGTGAGGCTGAGAACTGCAGGATGTTGTAACTACAATTAATAAAAAGCTCTGAGGGAGTGACTTATCCCTGACTGCCTTGGGATTCCTCCCCTTGCTTGGAAGTAAAGCAGCTCATCCTTGTGTTGGAAGGACGTCTGTAAATTCCTCCTTCCTCTGCATGCAAATATTCCATCCAATCAGCCGAAGGTTTTGCATGTGGAAAACCACGTGGAAGTTGAGAGTGGGTCATTAAATGTGCCTTGAGAGGGGACAGGGGCTGTTACCACACAGCCTTTGGGTCAGGAGTTCCTAGTTAATCATTATATTCCTAACAAGTAAAAGAAAACAGATTACAGGCAGATTTGGAGCCCCCTCTGCAGATACTGGGGGTGTTTGCTGTGCAAATGTGGATCAAGGGGAAGATGGGAGAGGGAAACACTCTCAGAGAGGCCTTGGCTGCATGAACAGTAACTAATTAGACAATAATGCACAAAACTATTCATGGGCCTTTCTGCAAGAACCAAGACTGTATTATTAAGCTAATCTTAAAAAAATTAATTGCATCTCAGTCTTAATTTAAAACTGAGCTGGGCTGGGGTTTTTTTGTTGTTGTTTTTTTTTTTCCTTTCCCTTTTCTTTTTATTCCAAGTTGGTGCAGGAAAATTGCTATTAATGAAATCTGCTCTCTGGGACTTCAATGGGCTCGTTCTTCATTAAAGCCTCGCCATTTCTCTTAAAACGTATTGAGCGACCAGAGACTCCCACAAAATCCACTCTGTAATTTCAGCATTTCTCTTATTGTGCCAGCCTGACATGCAGAGCTCTGGGGACTTTGCAGAAAACCCCCAATAAAACCCCCTAAGCTCACAGTTATATAGTATTAAAAGAAGGGTGAAGGAAGCCTTGAGTGTCTTTAGGATGATGAGACATTCATTAAGATTTTTCCGCCTTCCTTTTCCTATTTTCAATCCATCTGAAGGACCATTAAAGCTTTTCAGGCAGCTTCCTGTGAGAAACCCTTTGCTGTGCTGTTTTTCTTCCTTGAAAAAAGGTGGCTGCTCTTGAGGCAGATTGTATGGATTTGGCCTGGGATTTGTATAATATCTGTGTAGAATGCAGCAGTTGTTTAGGAACCTAATTCCCAATATGGCTCCCTTTTGATTAAGAACAAAGCCAGCGTTTCACAGCATTACAGGAACACAGAAAAACAAGTTAATGATCTAAACCTTTTAATTCATGGTTGCTTGTCTATTTAAAGTACTTTTGATTCTGCTATAAACAGACTGGCCCCTTTTTTTGTTTAACTTCTTTCTTTGGTTTCTTCGCATTTCTTTCTTTACTGTCCATGAAATTTGGAGCTCGTTTCCTTTTCCAACTGAAGAATGAAAGGTTGTGACTACAGAGTGATACAGGGAGTAAGAAAAGCGTATCCAGACTGGGCGTCCATCCAGCACAGACCTCTTTGAAACAAGCTAAATTTAGGCTTCTCGGGGGTTTTCTGCTTGTGTTTTCCCTTTCCTTTTTTTTTTTTAATTTTTTTTCAGTACCTATGTTTCATTTTCTCCTTTCTGAACGAAGATGAAGTTTATGACTTTTTTGATACTTTCTTGATTTTTACATGTAGTTTGGCCTGGTTTTATTTTATATAGTTACTTGAGATTTTCCTCCAGCCTTAGTTCTGCAGATGATTATTCTCTGTGTCTTTATCCACTGGGACAACAAAAGCGACCTTTTCAGGACTTCCAATTACCAACACTGTATGTGGTACTTTAGGAAAATAATTCCCTTCCAGATATTCTTTTCTTTTTAAATAGGGAGTTGGAATCCAGAGCTTGTTCTTCAAATCAAACTCAAATACTTTTTGGTGAACAAAACTGTCAGGGCAGCAGCAGCAGCAGCAGGAATAATTTCCCTTCCATGGAAGGAAATCCTTGCTTATCCCCCTGTATAAAATTAGTATTTGTTGCTTCCATTGCCGTTTATTTTTTATCTGAAGATGAATTTATTCAGATTTTTTTTTTTAATTGCAACGGGAGATCATTTTTTTCGGTTTATTTTTTGGGGGCATTTTTTTTTTTAAAATCTTATTTCGGTCCGGTGTAGAAATGCCAAATGAAGACAAAAATCCCAATAATGTGTTTTCTCACATCTCTGTTCCCATGAAGGTAAACTGAACAGCCAAGACACTTACAACAACTTCACAAACAACAATCCTGGGAACCCTCGGCTGCTGCCTCTTCCAAGCCTGACTGTGGTGTTGCCTCTTGCTCAGATCAAGCAGCCAATGACGTTGGGGACCATCACCAAACGCACAGGGTGAGTGCACAAACCTTCCTTAACCTTCTTAGTTATCACTCACGGGCAAAGAATTCGGGTTACTGGTGATAATTAGTTTTATTCCTTACTTTAATTCCACTGTACGGAATTTACTTGGCAGCAGAAGGGGTTGGGGGGATGAGGAGACAAGAAAACCTGCAAAGAAATCTCTGTAAATTCAGGAATATTCATTTGGGTGGCTCAGGAGACGTTTTCACACCAGGAATGGGAATGAAACATAAGCAGAGCTGTATTCAATCAGAATAAAATATGGGTTTACTTTTTTTTTTTTTTTTGAAAAGTTTGTTTGGATTTCCAGCTTTTTCAAGCAGAATTGATTTTTTTGACCATCAGAGCTGCAAAGACAGTAAAGGCAGGTTGAGCAGAAAGGCAGAACTTAATCCTGCTGTTTTCCTTGACCTTATTTTTCCTCTGAAGTGACTGTGCTGGACTGTGTAACTCACGTGTGGACTCCAGAGCCAGCTGCACTTTGCTACTTCTCACTGGGCCAGGATAAAGCATTTCAGGATATTTGTTGGGAAAAGCTCCTCTAAATATACATACAATTACTAGGAAGATTTTTGTGAGCTTCATAAACTATAACAATTTTAAGTTAATTCACACTGTTCAACAGTTGATGCTTCTGCTAAACTTCAAATCTCTTATTACAATTAACACAGAAAGCTACTGGGTGATGAGTATTTTTTTTCCCTCTTAATTTTTAGTGCTTCGAATCCCTGAATATTTTCTAATTAAAAGTCTGATTCATCCATTAATTTACAGAGGGTTTTTACATTTTTAAGGAAAATAGATCGAGCATGGCATGTTGTTGGACAAAACAACTGGGAGTCCCTACAGCTTCCTAACATTTTCCTGCTTTTTGCCCAGTGCAGGCACTGCCTTCCTTTGCCTCAGTGCTTTCTTGCTCCAGCTCTGCTCGTGAGGGGAATTTTTACCTTGTGTTTCGTGAACTGGGAATTATTTTTCAGGATATTCCCCCTCTCCCTGAGTAATTCCCACATTCTGTGCTTCAGCATCCAGGCCATCCTGTAAGATCTGTGTTGTTTGGTGCACTGAGTGGTGCCTGGTGACCATCAGAAGCTTGATCTGTGTGCACATAAATGTGTATCCACACACGTGTCTATCCAAGAATCCTGCTCTTAGCCATGGAAACTGGAATTTCATGGAACCAGATCATGAGCTCTGAACACACAGTTGCCCTCAGCACAGAGAAATCCCTGAACTTCACAGAGAATTGGAAATGGAACTTAGGAAACAGTAAAGGAGCAGTCTGAGGGTCATGTTGGGGTTTAGCTTCCTCCACACACACATTTCAGCTGCTTATTTTTGCCTTTTTTTTTTTTCCTGCTTGCAGTTTAAACACAGGTGAGGGGAAAAAAAGGTTGTGCTGCTGGTCAGGTGAATCTGGAAAGCCCAACCAGGTGTGATGGGGATGAGGCCAGGAAGGGAGGTGGGATGAGGGGGAGGTTGGTGTGCAAGGAGACGAGCAGGAAGTCACAGCTCCTCAAAGAGGGGAAATAATGAAAATGTGGCTTGAAGAGTACGGTCAGTGAAGGACAGAAATAGAAATCTGGGCTCCTGGAACTGGGATAGACACTTAGAACCAGATGGGACAAGGCAGAGAGAGGAATTAAAAATCCACCTGAGGGCCTGCCAGAGGAGGTAGGGGACAGGAGTGCTGGGGAAGAGCAGGATTTGGGAAAAAACACTTGGTTTGCAATAATAATTCGTGCAAAACCCATTACAAAGGCTGTTCCTGAATGCTTGGTGATACCAGCAAACCTTTCTAAAATTGTTGCATGTGTAGTAAGTCTGCATTACTTTATGGAATATTTCATTCTTGAATATCTTAAATATATTCAGAGTGTTCATATTCATAGTTTTCCCATAAATTATACTATTCACTGACTGTCTCTGCCCCGTTCTGTGCGATTTTAAAAGCTAATTAAATTTAAAATGCTCAGTGAGGCTTATGCAAGGGGGGAAGACAGCAGTCCTGGGAAATACCCTGCTGTGTAAGTAGAGTTTTGGTGGATGGGGATCATAATTTTCAGCCCGGCCCACGTCGCCGTGTCACACTGAGCCGAGAGCTCCCTTCATTTGTTCTGCATCCAAAATATCTGATGAAAGCGCAGCAAATTAACATGAAAAGCTGCATTTCTAAAACACATTTGGGAGGAATGCCTCGCATCCCAGAAGCCTGGCATGCCTAAAATGACCAAATTGAGACAGCAGCCTTAACTTAAACCTCCAGGGGGCAAAGCGTGTGTTTAACATATTTAACATCTGCCCTCGTATTTCTGCAAACACGTCGCACTGCGGGGCTGTGCAGTGTGAGCTTTCGACAGGACAGGGACCATCTGCCTCACTGGAGGAGAGGAGGAGGCTGCATTACTGCAAATGGCAAAAGACAGATGTATTTACACCTACATGGGCAGCACCTCTGAGCAGCGCTCCGAGGGAACAAGGCTCTTCCTTGGGAGCAGCTGCTTCACCTTGCGACTGTGCAGCGATCAGAGGGGGAGAGGAGCTCAGAGGCAGTTGGCTTTTACACTCTCTGTTCACTCCTCTTCTGCTGTTGTACCCTTAAAAATTAAAAAATTTCATCTGTTGCAGCACAGCTCTAAAAGTCAAAATCGGGATTGAAATGCTGTAAAATTAAAAGTCTGGATTGACCTTCCTTTTAACGTACTAAAAGGTTCTTTAGTTCTGAATGTCTTCAGGGAGTCTTGGAGGTTTTGTTAACCCAAAAGTCAGGGTGGGTTTTGTTCTGCTGGTATCCAAGACAGCAAAATATTTTCCAGGTACTGAAAGGACTGATCAGTGCCCTTAGTACCACGTGTCTGGAGCAGAGCTGCAGAGTGTGTCACGGTGCTTGACAGGTGGAATGGCAATGGCAGTAAATTTTTCAGAAGTGTTCCCCTGTAGCCCCGTGGGAGTGAAGGAGGGAGTCTGGAATTGTGTCATGACTGTGCTGTTCATCACAGGTGCTTTTTTTGTGCCGTGCAATCACGTAGATTTTTGGGACGTGTCCTGATCAGTCACTGCTGTGAACCAAACCCCCGCTCTGGGCAGGAAGTGTCTGGGAGCGTCACCTCCTGTACTACCATCGCTGGCCTTTCCTTCTCCCCTGCTGCTCTCCTTGCTTTTTCAAGTCTCTCACTGTAATTTCCTCACCTCCATCAAGCACTTCATCTCTGTCCCTACATTTTGCCATCCCATTGCCTGGCTTTCCTGCAGTTTGTGCTGTCAGCACATCCTGAAGGAGCAGAGAGGCTTTCCCAAAGGGGCTCTAACACTAATGAGTGAGGAAGCATCTGATGTTTTAAAGATCAGGGGGATGCAGGACAGCACAAGAGCTGGATTTAATAAGTCTTTATATATCCATGCCTCAGTTTCCCTCTCAAACTTTTAATAGTGATGCTGAATGCCTTGTCGGGGCTGGTGAATGGGTTAATTCATTGCTCATTTACAAAGAGCTTATAGATTTGAGAGGGGGAGAGCTGGATGATCCATCTCGGTGTCTATAAAAGGCAGTGAATCAGAACATTCTAGAAGACAGCTTTGTGCTTTGCAGGAGCTTTATAAGTGTTCCTTGTGTTTGTGGGATGAGTTGCAGTTTGTTTCCAGTTGGTAAGAACGTGGGGACATGGAAAAAGGGAAAGAAAAGATACAATAATTGCCCCGAAAGAAAAACTCTTGTCCAAGTTGGCTCCTCTGACAGCAGTATTTGTTTTAAGTTCCTCCAGGGACATGGTCATTATATTTGGATCATACTTCACTCTCCAGTTCATCCTTGCTGGAGTGAACAGCAGGATGGAACCTGCATTAGTTGGGCCTTGTCAAAACAGAGGCATCCAGTGTTTCCTCCAGGAAAGGGAGAAACCTTGCCTTTATCCAGCCAGGAGATTCAGACAGTGTGTTTTTAAACATGAAACTCTATCCCCTCTATCTTAACTCATCCCTCATTCCACCCCCAGCGAGGAAGGGGGAAATAGGTAAAGTGTCTGGTGCAATTTTACCATTTTAATATTTATGCCCAGCAAATCCCTGGTGTTTGGTTCATTTTGTGCCAGAGAGCTTCCTTTGTCCCAGGTTCTGCTGCTGAAGCGAACAAAACCAAGGAGTGCAAAGTCAGGGGGTCACGATACAATTAAGTAGGAAAAAGTAGCTGAAAAGGTCAATTAAAAAGTTAAAAGTAAAGCCCAAGAATTCAGCACCATTGTCTGAAGCTGGACCCATTTCTCAGGCGTGTTTTGTGTCACCTTTAGCTTCTACAGTACATTCTGGGAATAAAGCAAGCGCTGTAATGATTTGTAATTGGTATGAAATACAGTTCCTTGCACTAAATTTTGCTCAGATCTCACTGTTTATGAAAGGCTTCCTGACATGGCAACATATCCCAGCGAGGGTCAGAATAAATGCCTATTGCACATTTAAAAGCTTAAATAGCTTTTATCAAACGTTACAACGCGAAATCAAAGCGTTTCGGTTTTCAGTTCGCCAAAACTCAGAACGAGGTGAGAGACTGGGAAAACTCTGTCAGAATTTTGAATCCTAAATCGTCTTCCTTCCCTGATTTCCCTCTGGAATTTCTCAGTAGCCACGAGGAAGGGGCAGCTCGGTGAGTTTGTGCCTCTCTGACTGTCACCGAGCGCGGCCATCTGGTGCTGTCTCTTCAAGGTTGGGTTCTCCTCTAATTTGTGGGCTCTCCCTCTCGCTCTCAATTAGCATTCCATCCATATTATGGGAAGGAAAGAGTGGAAAACAATCCCTTATCTAAATATCATGGGGGGGGGGAAAATGGTCGTCTTTAAAGGAATCAGGTCTCGTGAGCAGAAAGGAAACGCTGAGTTGTTTTTCTCGCACTTAAAGCTTTTTCCTGAGGCTCTGCTGTGGTCTTTGCAAGTGTAATTGCATTTTGTTCGTGATACAAGATTTTCTATCTAAAACCAACCAAACAAAACCTTCAGTTGAAGCCTGTATCCACCTGGGTCAATTTGTAATTAAAATAAGGAGAATTTGTTCATTTGCAAGTATAATCAGCTCAACGTAGTATGTTGTGGAGAAAGTAAAAGCCTGTGTTATCTTCTGAAATGTTCTAATGGGCTCAGCTAAGTGTCATTTGCTTGATGTTTGCAGACAGAGCCACTGAGGCAGAGAAGAAAAAAAAAAATAGTTGCCAAAACATCCGTGATCACAATTTAGAAATTTAGCTCTGAGCTCCCGGGCAGATCCCACCACTCTGCAGTGACCCTTCAGATTTACATACAAGCTGCATTCTGTGTTTTAAATTGTGTTGGCTGTGGGTCTTGCAGGAGATTTAGCTTTCAGTTAAATATTTAAGCAGTGCAATAGTGCTGGGCTCATCTTTTGTTGAGCCGTGAGGGCGGCCTTTGACTCGGGCTGAGTGTTGGCTTCGGAGGAGATCAGACAGTTCAGACAATTCAACTGGGTTTTCTCTCTGTTCAAAGATGATATATTAGATCTAGAAGGGTGGTTGGTTCTACCAGATGAGCTCTGTCCCCCAAAATGTTGACTAAACATCTATTAGATACAAAAAGCTAAAGACCAGTCCCTTACAC